CCTGTAGTCCCAACTACTTGGGAGGCTGAGGCAAGAGAATCGCCTAAGCCCAAGCTGGAGGTTGCTGTAAGCTATGATGCCATAGCACTCTATCAAGGATGACAAAGTAAGACTGTTTCTAAAAAAAACAAAATGTTTTGCTCTTTCCCTACTAGCAATACTCACCCCTTAGAGAACCCTTTTACTCTTGTCCTCCTCCTATCTGCTCTGTACCAATGAACCAGATCATGCCATTTCCCTGTCCCAACCTTCCAATGGCTTTCCATTCATTCAGAAGAAAACTTAAGTTCTAACCATGGCCTACAATACAATGCACAGTCTGGCCTGGTCTTATCTCCTGGTACTCAGGCCTTTATTCATGGTGCTGCACCTGGCCTCTCTGACATTCCTTTAACATGCTACTAAACATCTCCTATCTTTGTATTTATTGTTCCTATACACTTTTCTAAATACCCAGTATAAAATAGCATATCCCATACTTGTCCCTCTCTATCCCTCTTACTTTTGTTTAATTTTCCTTCAAAGCATTTTCCACCATGCCTCATTGTGTGTGTATATATATATACATATATATACACATGCACACATATAACATATATACATTATATATATATAACATATACATATATATGAAACATATATCGTTTTATGGTCTATCTCTGTTCACTACAAATAAAAGCTCCATAAAGGTGGGGACTTTGTTCTATGCACTGCTGTAACATCAGTACCCAGAATAGAGCATGGGACTCAGTATGTATTTGCTAAGTGAATGAATAAAACTTAGCTTCTAGCTTCTCAAGTAGAGAAGTATTAGCCTCCTATGAACTCTTAGTAACCTGTCAAAGAGTATGGGCTACTGTTATATGGGTAGACCATTTGGTGGAGAAAAGAACACTACTCCAAGAAGGTAAAGGGGAGTTAAAAAAGGAGGGGAAAAAAAGCTGCAACTAAGTAGTTCTGAGAATTGTGCTTTTCCTTGTTATCCCACTATGCATTTATTAGACACAAAACTAATGGAGAATCACTTTTAATTCTTATAAACTTTGAACTAAAGCAAGGAAGAAAAAGAGGAAATGGCCTTTACCTGCTGCGAAGAGGTTAAGGTTAGGGTGAGCAGCCAGGACCCAGAAACGATCATGATCCCTACGGAAGGTCTGAACCCCAGTTCTAAAAAAGCAAAAGGTACATAAAGAAAATGATTATTTCCCCGAAATTTCCAGCCCATTATATATAAGAATATTGAATGGTAAGTGAGCAAGCCAATTAAAAATGCAAATCAGGGACAGTAAACTGTGTATCCAGTTATGATAAATTATACCAAGGAACAGAAAGAAGAGACTTTAAACTGACCATATTATTTTGATATGTCAATTTCTCCCCTTCATAATTTTCTACTATACTGCTTTCGTATTTCTTCTCCAGCTACAGAATTGGTGGAAGGGGGAGGAAGAACATGTTTAAATTTAGAGGAGGAAAAGGAATACACATGGGGAATTCTATTTGATAGAAAATATGTTGAGTGTTGGCTGATCTCTATATCTCTTCAGGTTTTTAGGACATATGATTTGATATTTCTTACATGCTGAAAATGTGAGAGACAAAATATTCCAAGCTAATTTTAAAAGAGAGAAAAGGTGGGATTCCCCTGCATTTGGTCACACAACATGGGCAACTCCCTTTACCGCTTAGACATATCCCAGACTCGGATACTCTTGTCTTCAGAATTGCTGAGGATCAACTCCTGGCGAGGATGGAAGACAGCACAGGATACATTGTTGTAATGGCCCCTGCAGGTATCAACCTCCCATGCCTTTGATTCTAAAGGACAAAAAGAATGGGTCACCACAATTCTCTACTAGTGTAACTTTGGGTTTCAGAGATAAGACATCTTCTTAATCAAGTGCTTGGCAGTACTACAAACTGTTAAATTAGCAACTTCTAATAGTGTTTTCTTAATTTAAGTCTCCTAAACTTTACCTATTTCTTTGCTCTTTCATTCTGACCCACCTATTAATTACAACACCTCTTCTCTATCATCCCTTATCCCTATACTCTGTTTTATTTATCCTGATAGTAACTGTCATTAGCTGCCAATTTAGAACAAGTGCAAGCTTCATAAGACATAGAGATTATCTGTTTTAGACACCACTGTATCTCCAACATTACTGACAACATCTATTAAAAAGTAAGTACTCAATAAGTATGTCAATGAATGGATGAATTTGTACTCTTAGCTATGTAAGAGCTATGTTCATACTCCTCAAAATCACGATCCCACCATAGGAAAAAAAGGGAAAGGGACAATTTTTGTGTTCCCAGGATTAGCATAAGATAATCGCCTACCATAAGAAGATAAGCCAAAATCCAAAAGACATGGCTACTTTATCTTGCTGGCCAGCAGTCAGTTTCTTAGACACATAGTAATGCTGTCACTGGTTCACTCACCATTCATGCGCCAGATCTTCACTTGACGGTCATCTGCCCCAGATACAATAAGGGGCATTGTGGGGTGGAAGGCAGCCCAGTTAACTCCACGATCATGACCCTGTAGAAAAAAATAAGTGTTCTTTTAAATAGTTTTATAACCATTACTCACAGCAAGTCAACGAAACATGCTAGTGGTTGTAAAAGATGCCTCTTATTTAGTCTTCGTGTGAGAAAGACTAAAGAGACTATGCTGCTCTAAGATTTGAACATCAGAATTACCACATCAATCCATCCAACATTATCCTAAATTCTCATGGGAATATCCAAATATGTATTTCTAACCCCATACTTAGTTTCATTTGCATTTAGGATATACTGCCTTGTTTTTTACTTATCTACTTACTGCATTATCTTACTTCTTCAACCAATTATTGACATCTTAGGTGTAAAGACTAATATTATAACTTAATGCAAAAACTCTCAAAGTGTGACCTAGAAACCCTTGGAGGACCCCCAGGTCCTTTTAGAAGTCTGCAAGGTTAAAACTATTTTTTTTTTTTAAATACTAAGACTATCTTTTTCATTCTTACCCTCTCATGACTATACTATACAGTCAGAGATGACATGTGTGATGTTGTCACTGCTCTGATGCTAATGCAATGTGTGTTGATATACTTTTATATGTTTAAAAGTTCTGAGTGTTAATTTCAAATATGGTTAAAAACTGACAGATATAACCCACATAAACAAAAATTCTTTGGGATCCTCAAAAAATTTTAAGGCCAAAAAGAGATCTTCAGACCAAAACTTTTAAAACTGTTGATTTTAAGATATCTTATATATATGGCTATACACTATACTGTGACAGAATGATAGATAAGGCAGTTCTGAATCAGCAGTATTTCTGAGAAGTATCACAGTGTGGTGGAAAGCACTGCAGACAGATCCACAAATCCTAGCTCTTCCATTTATTAAACATATATGGACTTTGATAAACTGCTTAATTTCTCTAAATCATAAATTTTTCATCCACAAACTGAGTCTAATAAAACCTACTTCAGTGGATAGCTGTGAGAATTAAATTAGTTAATTAAAAAAAAAAAATACTACTTCCCTTACACTTTTCTATTTTCCTACCAGGCACAAAAGTTACAGATGCCAGTACCTCAAACAGTGCCTGGCACTTAATGAGCACTCATTATAAATGTTTATTGAAGAAATGAATAAATGAATGGCATGCTGTGACCTTCCCCAGATGACAGCCCATATCTAGCCACTGGCTGTAGAGACAGGTACCTCTAGTACGTGCTTCACTACTGCATCAGTAGTTCCAAATAGATCAACCCCGGTTATTCCTCTCACATCGGACTCCACCGCACCAGGAGACAAGTTTTTTTTCCTTAGGCCTTTGAAGGGGGTGGGGGGGGGATGGGTTGAAGGATATAAACATAATGTTATCAAAAAGAGCATAGCATCAGAAATACTGATGGATACAGTGAAGACAACGAGAAAAAGAAATTGAGAAAGACTAAAGAAAAGAGACTCAAGAGCTCTTTCTGGAAATGTTCAAAAAATTAGAGTACATCCACTATCTTCTCTTCTGATCCCTCAGGACTTAGACTCATATTGGAATTTCTTCCTAGAGGTCAATCTGAATTTCTGATACAGTTATAACCTCCTCTTCACCAAATTTCACCTCAAGAGCTGTCTAATTCAGTTAATGCCCACTTTCCATTCTTCAGTGTGTGTTTTTTTTTTCCTTTTTTTACAGTTTTTGGCCGGGGCCGGGTTTGAACCCACCACCTCGGGTATACGGGGCTGGCGCTCTACTCCTTGAGCCACAGGTGCCGCCCCTTCCTTCAGGGTTCTTAAGTGTGGCCTCAATTTCCACTTTCAATTTCATGAAATCTATAGCAACTTTTTTTTCTTTTTTTGAGATAAGAGTCTCACATGTCGCCCT